TAATCCTCCCACGCTGCCCCGTGAAAACCAGCTGTTTGATCGAATCTCCGCAGAGCTGCAGACTCTTCAGATTATTGCGTGCTGTCAGTAGAGATTAATAGACCTGAACATTCAATCTGAGGCGTCTTCTTCCTCCTGACACCTTCACAGTTAAACAGTTAAAAGGTTCTTTAAGTTTTACAAATGTGCTTTTTCTTGTAATCTGCGACTGACAGGAATGATTGACCTCTGCATTCAATCTTTAATCTGCATTGTTGTCACATCATCACAGAATCACTGGCTTGGGGATCCCAAGCCTCTGGGACCTGGGGTCTCAGCTATGCCCATGAGCAAGTAGTGAACCCCCACCCTCCCTCAGCTCTCTCCCCCTCGGAGAGTAGGCAACTCCTGGTTTGGGAGAGTGAGAGTGTCTAAGCCTCCTTCTCACTGCCGTCTCCCCTCCAGGCCGTCTTCTTAATCAGCTCAACAGCTCAAAGGAGAGGTAGTAACAATGACACAGAAGTCAGAATACACACACACCGGTCAGAGGACTGTCTGTTTCCTGAGGTGTGAGGGTGGCAACAATAACATTGTGAAAAGACAGAAATAGATTACGTGACGTCCACAGTGAAGGACAACTGCTTTAAAAGCTTTTAGACACATCAAACATTATTTATTGGGAGATGAAAAGAGTTCAGATCCAGGGAGGAAAGATGTTGTGTGTGTTCTTTTCTTTCTTCGGGTTCATGTTTCATGAGTCATTGTGAACATATTTTATTTTAAAGTCAGAAGAATCAGTTTTTGCGTTTTTTTCCATTTGTGAGAGCAAAAGAAAAACACCAGAGGTTGTAACATGATGTAACTGGACAAACACTTTACATAGAGCTCAGTGTAACGACATTACATGGAAATAATGTTTGTTAAATGTACATTAGAATATTCCATCTCCTCTTTTCTTTGATTGTCATTCATTTATTTTTTTCTGCTGCACCAATAATATCAGTTTTTAGTTAAGTTATGTTGTGTGTATGGAGATAATGTGCATCTGTAGTATGGTGGCATTAGTGTGTGTATATGTGTGCGTGTGTGTGTGTGTGTGTTTGTATGTGAGAGAAGAAGCAATAAAAAGAAATAACCTCCTTACAGATATTTGTAAAATACAGTCTGAAATTTAATAAAATTAAAACAGTGGTGATGCACCTGTTCTCCATGTACAAACTGCAGTATATGTGACTGTTCAGGCTCCAATCAGACTGAATTAGTTTGAATAGTTTGAAGACGTACACCGAGCAGTCAGACACTTAACTGTGATTGAATGGAAATCATTTCACACTTTATCTCACACTTTATAGGTCATATTCAACTTAACTGGGAAAAAAAAAAAAGTCAGATGCATGTTTACTGTTAAAGACTCCGAACGTTCATGTACGACCGTGTGGAAACAGTTGGAACGTGCCACGAAGCTCAACTCCCCGTTTGCCCCTGAATAATTGATTTGTGATGTTTTTCTTAATTTAACAACAGACGACAAAAAGAGACAAGACACAGAGAGCAGGCCGTGTGCACGGAGTCATTGTAGAGTCTTGTTATGGTCTTTAGATGTGTGTGTGTGTGTGTGTGTGCGTGTGTGTGTGTGTGTGTGTGTGTGTGTGTTACCTTGTGTTACCTTTTACTTCACACTTTTTTCCCTCCTCTCTTCATGTGTATCCTCCTGCCTCTATTTGTTCACATAATTTAACATTATATTCCACACTGTCTTATTTGGTCTTTTCTCTGTGTCTGTTCAAACAGTGTCCGACACGACAGACTCAAATAAAATAGATTTTTAAAAAAAATCTCTTTGTCGTATCCCAAGAATGACTGAATGTATTATTTGTAAATTCACCTAATTTACTGTGATTATGAATTTAGATCATGAAAATTATGAATGGATATTATATATAAGTTGTTAACTGTGTGTGTGTGTGGGTGTGTGTGTGTGTGTTTCAATTTTAACAATGCTTTTAAACATGTCCACAGCAGCTCTGATTCATAATAAAAGCAGTGTGAGATCTTCTGTGTAGTTTTAGTGACTGACACCACAACATGTGGAGCGTCATGTGCCAAAGATCTTGTAACCAGTGTTTGTGCTCACTCCTCCTCTTCAGACTCTCAGCTGTTTATATCGCTTATGCAAATTTTTAGTCTACAATTATTTTTCTTTTTACACTTATTATGTCTTTAACGCCTGTTGCACTGCGGTCCATGAGGAACGACAGTCTGTCTCCCCGTATGTGTGAAAATAACAATAAAGCTGAACTTGAACTCTATGTTTTTTTTTTCTGTAAAATAACTCATGGAAATAAACATTTAAAAACACAAATGATACACAGTGTTTTCTCTCATGTGTGTGTGTGTCTGTGATTAGAGTTTGACTGTCAGGATGATACAGAATAAAATGTGTATTGTTGTCCACAAAGAACAGAGTTTAATACAGATATTATGAGTAACAGTAGCTCTGTGAACTTGGTGTTATTCTTGTTTTTTTTGTCCAATAAAAGACAGATTTTCTCTCGGTGATCACAGTTTTAAAAGTCTCCAACTTTTTGTCTCTTTATCAACAAGATCCATTCTCAAAAAAACAAACACAACATTATGAGTGATATGAACTGTTTGGAAACGTTTGGTGCCGCATTGCCGGCTGTTGTGCATCCACATATTCTTAACATAGATTTATTAACCAGCTGTTTTTTCTATGTCTTGTCTCACTCTTGATTATTTATCAGTGCAACAGTTTTAACTCTCACTCGTCGTCCGCCTCATTCACACTCACTCACTCGTGGACTTCAGGGCTGCTGCACTCGCCTGCAGGCTCAGGGTCCTTTATGTCCGAGATGGCACTTTAATCTAAATTTCATTCAGGTTCCTTTTGAAAGCTTAGAGCCAACAGTTTAGACTCCTGTTTACCATTGCTGCATTTCTATTTTTAGATGCAATGCTCTTATGTAACGCTCACTCTCACATTATGGACCACTGCTGTCTGCTCCACTTGGCTGAATCGTGTACTCCGTGTGTGTCTGTATACTAAGTTGCATTCAAAAACGTCTTGTAACTTCTATGAAGTAAGAAGAAATTAAAAGGAAAGAAAAGCATATATATATTTAAGTGTAAGCATCTATCATACACAGTCAGGGAATCTACAAAATATCTAATGCAAGTAAAATCTTGCATGGGACTGTTTTGTGGACAGTTTCAGTATTTAGACCCCTATTTATTTCACAAATTCTAAGTAATTCTTACAATTTCCCAGGGTGAAGATGTGTGTACATGCCCAGAGTTTGTTGTCTTTAAGGATTTCTCAAAGTACTGTAAGTATATTTCATGAAAATATAAAAAACCTTAGCACATTTTCCAAAAATTGGAGCCCTATTTAGTTTAAACAGGATTTCCATAACACCTAAAACCACAAGATAAAGCAAGCAAATACAGAATCCACTAAAATACACTATACAGCTGTACAATTGGACAGGGTGCTGACTTTTAGGTATAGAGAAATATTTCATATACAGAAAACTCAGTTGGATAATATGTTTTATTATTACATTTCTGTTGTTGTATTTTCAAACAAGGTATTTGAACCAAGGTGACGTGTAAAACATCTGAAACCTGCACAGATCACTGTGATCAATAAGGCAGTCTATAACAATCAATACACCATCAGTGAACAGTTTGGAAAGTATTATTTTCAGTCAACACATCAGGTGAAATAATATTATATATTCATTTAGTCTTAAAGCTGTAAAAATATGAGAAAATGTAAAACATTAACGTCTTATAAACTGTAATGCAAAGAGTCAAGCATTTTCCCCATTAGATGATAAACAGCCTGCAGCTTTGGCATGACGACGGAATAAAAAGTCAAGTTCAATTTATTTATAAAGCTCATTTAAAAACAACAACAGCTGAGCAAAGTGCTATACTATCAAAATAGCAAAAACTATAAAACAACACAATAAAAACACAAAGACCAGTTTTAAAAACAATAAAATATTAAGAGCAATGAGATCATAAACTTTAAAAAAAAAAAAAAATCTCATATTGAGTTGAATCCAAGTAATAAAGATGTGTTTTAAAAACATGCAGAGGCAACGGTCCAGAGTTTGGGGGCTACAACTGGCAGCTGTGTCTCCTCCTGGGACAACCAGAAACAACTGGTCAGGCTGAGTGGCCCTGATGGGACGTGTGGTGGCAAAAAGGTCAGAGAGCACATTTAATGGTTTGTGGACAAACAATAAAATCTTAACATCACCAGATAAGATCATGTACAACCCTAGATTTGATCCCTGAGTTTCTATTTGTCTAGTTTAAAATCCATTATCACACCCAGATCTCTAACATATGGATCCAGGGAACACAGGGTCCACATATCAGGACCTCATGATGCGTGTAGGATGGCAGACAAGCCTACTGTGACAGAGGTAGCAGTGATTCAGTTTCATGGTGGAATGATGAGGACAGAAAAAAATAAATATATATAGATATATATATATATCTATATATATGCAGCCACAGAATGTGAGTTAAGGACCAGTATAAAATCAAAGTAAAACTGTGTAATAATAACAAGAGTGGAAGAGTGGGAAAGAATAGGGAAATGTTAGTTTAAACATTTGTGAAAATACACAGTCAAGGTATTAGAGCTGATGAGGGCAAAGGAGAAAATAGAAAATAAAAGAATTATGACTTAATAAAGCTGTGTTCTTTTTATAGTATTTTATATATAGCCCATATATTAAGATATTTATCATAATTAAAGCACAGATTATTACATGAGGAGTTCGTAGAGAAAGTGTTGATAAAAGAATAAATTACAGCTCCGGAAAAATGTCATATTATATATTAATTGTTATTTTTTTTAACTGCAGAGAGGAAAATCCGTCACTGTGGAAGAACACTAGGTGGCAGTAATGCTCTGATTTACTGTAATGTGCTGTCTGGAAACAGGACAAAGAAGAAGAAAATGGACCAATCACAGACCGCCGAGCGCCGATGCGGATATCCGGAAACCTTGTCGACGCGTGCATCTGCACTTTGAGCAGCTCCTAGCCACAGCCACTCAGATATCCCACGTCCTGTCGTCAGGTGTCACACACACAGAGGCGTGTGCGGTGCAGGAATGTCGTCCAGCGGAGAAGCCGTGTTTCGGGCCGTGGAGACGCCGCTGTTCTGGCTCGGTGCTCTGACCGCGGCCTGGCTGTCTGTGTGCTCCGTGTGCCGGCTGCTGTCCGGGATCAGGGTGTGGGTGCTGGGTAACGGCCGGCTCGTGTCACCCACTACACTGGGAAAGTGGGCAGGTGAGGAACTTGAATAGAGGATGTTAGTACTGATTAAATGTAAGATAAGAATGAGATTATTGTAATTAGTGTCTTTGTTTATGATTAATGAATAGTTTACTGATACATTTCACATCAGTTAGAAGCCATTAATAACAACAACAACACTGGGTTCATTAGTGAGACCCCTCAAGTCTGCAGTTATGTAATAAAAGATAATGGAGGTTTTCCTTTTTAATAAACCATCAGCAGAAGTTAGTCAACCACCTTTAAATGTTAATAAACCGTTATTAAAGGTGTCTGCAGGTGTAAATGTTAATAAGCAGTGTAGAAATACATATTGACCCACATGTCCTGCAGCTCTTAGATATTCTTCCATTATTGATCTATAAAGTATCAGTAAGTTTTTTTTTAAAAAACTGGTGATGTTGCTGTTATTAACAGCTTTTTAAATGGGCCCTTATCAGAGAGTGGTGCAGATATGTGGAGGTGGTTCCTGAGCAAAAAAAAAAAGCATCAACTTGAACCTGAACGTGGAGGAAATAAAGTCACTTTAGTGCTTGTTATAATGGGGGAAAATGTCTCGGCCTTGTGGTTGTATCTCTCTCCAGACATAAATGCAAACTCCAAAGGAACTCCTTTAATTGCTGAAACAATTAGTCGATTAATTGATCAGTCAGCTGAGGGAAAATTACTTAAGAACTACTTCAATAACTGATTAAACGTTTGCGTTATTTTTCAAGAAAATATGCCAAATATTTCTGTTTCCAGCTTCTCCAATATGAGGTTTTACTGCTTGTTTGAATCAAATTGTTGGTGGGATGAAAAGAACATTTTAAAGACACACTTTGGGAAGTTGTCATGTGTGTTTTCCTCTACTCTTTGACTTTTCCTACATCTGATCGCTATCGATAAATTGAGAAAATCGGCAGATGAACTGATAATGAAAACGATCGTTAGTTGCAGTCCTGTCCTCTAACTTTTACTTTGTAATCACGTCTTTTAGCCTTTTAATTATTCACAGTCACATTTTAAAAGCTCCGCCTGAATCATTTTGTGAAAGAGTTGCTCAACATATTGATACATATTGATTTTAGTTATTTTTTTAGTTTGCATGATTGTATTAAACAGCTTTTAAATGTAGCTGTTAGCTGTAGCATTTAACTTTAGTATTTAAATTCTATGCCCCAAAAAAGATTTAATGTACCTGGAAATCTTTTTTTTCTTTTTCTTTTCTTATTTTATCAGTCATAGATAACAGGCCATTGAGCAACGAAGGCCGACCAGCCTTGGACCAACCTGCCCGAGGAACTGAGATTAGGAAACACTCTGTATAAATGATTATAATACTTTTCTCCATAAATACTTGTTACTTATTTTCTTTGTTGGGTTAGGGTTAGTAATATATATATATATATATATATATATATATATCTCACAATCAGTCACGTTTTCTTTTACAAAGTCATTTTAATGCTTTATCAACAACCTGTGCAGCTCTGTGCTGTTGCACTGGGTCACAGCTTTCTTGCACAATAGGTTTGCTCTGACTGTTTCATAGTTCACAGTGGTAATTACAAAGCCTCCAGTCTTCTGCTGTTCCTTCAGCACACACTTGTTCCGCCCTGTGGCGTCTCTGTCGCAGCAGCAGCAGCAGCAGCAGCAGCAGCAGCAGCCCACAGTGTGAGTCTGTGGCTCTTTTGACAAGACATAAAGAACAGGCAGTGAATGATCAGCACTTTGTCACTGGGTGTAAACTTCTAGTAGATCCTGTGAGTGGATTATGGCGTGAGGAGGATTATCAAATCAGACTGAATACTGTCCATCTGTCCGGCCTGCTCACTGACTGAACCTTGAAGTTTGAACAGACCGCTGGGATTGATTTAAGTCTGCCGTTCAGGGTTCACATCATAACACAAAAGGAGCTCAGAACCTCTGATACTGTAGTTTAGAAGAAAACAGGCCCAGTGGTTTTGGATACAGCTTCATTAAACTGCAGCCACAAGCTTCAGCACAGAGTGATTGTTAATAGTCTGTTTGGGTGTCATTTTTTATGCATTTGCAGTATATAATTCTTATGTGTATTTTCACACAACACTTTCTCACTATTTTATCATTTTTTTAATCAGAGTCTAGATTCTACAGACGAGGATTAGGGCCACATGATTTTTTTTTTGTGTGTTTTTTTTGTTCTCTAATTCTGACTTTAAAGTCAGAATTCCTCTTCCATAAGATTCACTACTAAAATCAGCGCTTTTTAATTTAAGAGTGAACACTGAGCCGTCTTGTTCGGCCTGCGCAGTCACTGTCACAGTCACTGTCGCAGTCACTGTCACGGTCGCAGTCACTGTCACAGTCACATCAGTCTGCGAGAGAAACCCAAATGTTTTGAGGATGCGAGCCGAAAATTGCCTTTGATCTTTCTGTGTGCAGCTGAAAAAAGGACGGGCACCAGACGGGTGTTGGGGGGGGGTTATTTTTGGCTTACACATGCAAAATGATTCAGAATATGCAATGAGCCGCAGGAGCCGTTAGCCCCGGCTGCTACTTTCATTCACAAACTTTGTCTCGCTGAAGTGGACCTGATTGAGAGGATGGCCTGATTATGTAACGGGACTGGAGCCATTCATAAATGAGTCTCACATGAGACGCAGGGTCCTCAGGAATCTGGTTCACACACACACACATACACACACACACACACACACACACGCCTCTCTCTCATACACACACTCACTTGTGTCTAGCCACCAAAGATATTCACTTTACCATGATATAAAACAGAGGAGAAAAGCAGCAACTTCTCACATTTATAAAAATGTATTCAGGAAAATTTTTGCTTGGAAAAATGATTAATTGATTATCAGAATACTTGCTACTCGACTAATCGATTAATGGACTTAACGTTCCAGCTCAGGGTTCAGGCTGCCTCAGAGCACCTGGAACTTTTCTTCAGGTCAGTTAAGTTGAACCTGTCACCAAGGCAACACATTAAGTTACAGGTTGTTTATGTATTATACCCAAATTCTGATTATTTTGCAGATATTGAGATCGCGATATGAGTCACGATTTCAGTTGGAAAAAATATATAAAAATGATGATGATGTGATTTTTCTCGGGTCTTGGACCAAACAAACATGTTCCTTTATGTCTGGAGAGTTTGGAGATGTTTTTTAGGCCGGGGCCACAACGCTTCATTTCCAGTATGTTGTGACACATTTTACCTCCTATCAAAAAAGCTCCTGGATACAGGGGTAGTTTAGCACAGTTTATCTAACAATATAAAAGTTGTTTGAACCATACGTACTGTAGATTGTAGTTATTTGATATAGTGCACCTACGTGTCCTCTACCAATACTTTTTTTTTTGTATGAAGTCTTTTGTTGCAAGTGCGTGCACTGTGACTCCCCTAGAGGAAAGACAGCGAGTGTAGAAGTAGGGCAGGATGTTGGCGTATATTCGTCTGCTGCACTGTACAGTGTTTACCGGTTATTAAAGCAACACTATGAGGATTATTACGTTTCTGCTCGGCTGCATGTCGGTAAAGGGGCGACGCAGACCAATCTAAGCCTGAAAACGCAGGAATAAACAGACTGTTCAAAACGTCATCATGTGTTTGCTTTAGAGCACAGACAGTGTAAGTCCTGGTCCTTCAGTCCCGTTCAACGATTAAATGATGTCGGCTATCAAATCCAGATGGCGGTGTGTATTAGCGCTATCATCCGAGCACGTAGCCAGTCTAACCTACATTTGCAGAAGACAGCAGTTCCTAAAATAGACCTTGTTTTATTTGAGTGAAGGGAACATGCACTCAGCTGTAAAAGCTTTTTTTTTTTTTCCCTGTTCTGACTGCAAAACAGTTCATTCTTAAAACAACTAAAAATAACCCAGCCTCTGTTCCCCTCATCATTGTGCCTGCAGACTCTCCCTCACTCGCCCCCTCCTCTTTTCTCTGTGCTATTTTTAGTTGCCCCCAGGATCCCCCATGTTTGTGTTTGTCATTTTCTTTCCTCTCTCCCTCCCTCTCTCCTTCCCTCTCTCCCTCCTGTTTGGCTCTGCTGCAGCCCTGGAGGATGCTCGGGCACCTCAGCATCATCTGTACGCAGGAAGATCACATAAAGGGGAGATGGGTACAGCCAAGGGTGGAGACAGAGTTGTCAAAATAAGAAAATATTCGCTTAAAATAAACACGATCGTTCCTGCGGGGATGTTTGCGTTCGACATTGTGGCAACAGCACGAGCAGCATTTCACGAAAATACAGATGAGGAGGTGTGTGATGCTCAGTTATATTAATCACTCTGTCTGTTCGAGGGTTTTCATTCTTAAATATAAAGTATGTCATGTAATAATAAGTGTATTTAAGGATTGCATTACTCCAGATCAGGTGTTGGCCACGATGGGACTGGTTCACATTAAAAACACCGAGCCTGCCTGCAGACCTCTAGCAACTAAAGTAATACATGTCAATAGTGATCTAATCTGAGTTAACTGAAAGTGGTCCCAGGTACTGAAGTTTAGAGCTTGCTCTTGATGTTTTGCGCACCTTGTATGTTGTATTTAATGAGTCTAAAAGCCCCGCTAGCAGACCCTAGAGGCTGCGCCGCTCGGTGCATCCAGCCACACTGATGCGGTTCGACCTAACCGATGCACCAGTGCTCCCATCTTAAGTGCACTTCACTCTCACAAGTAGGTCAGAACCACAATGCCCGAAAAGCAAAAAGAAAAAAAGGAACAAAATCACATAAAAACACAGAGGAATAATTACACGCATAAGTGGAAGAGCAACACATAAGTTGACACAAGGACAAGGTGGATATTGTTCTTTAAGCAGGGACTTTACAGGTTACACTGGGACATATTGTAACGCTCTGACTCCCCCCCCCCCATCCCATCCACTTTTTGTTATATTTAGCCAGAGGTGTGATGAATAGTTGCTTCTGAAAGATGGGAATTGCTAAAAATAGTTCCCCTGCTGCTGCTGCTTTTTGTGCCAGGCAGTTCCAGGGCATCTGTTCGCTCGACTGCCACTGATGACAGAGAGGACCTCACTTTCCCTCCCTCCCTCCCTCCCTCGTTTTTTTGTCCTCCTTCTTCACCTCAGCTGCTCTCCACGTACCTCATCCAGCAGTTCATCTGTCTGCGCCGACGTTCAGCCCTTTACCCTTGAAAGTCCATTTATTTTATTTTTCTGAAGCGTCTCTGTGCTCGGTTTATCATTGGTGTTTTTTTTTTTTTGCGCTGCACTTTCCAGGGATCACTCCTCAACTCTTTGACATCTTTACCACTGGGTTTCTGTGATGGTAATGTTCCTGTAGGTGGCGCTCTTTGTCTATTCCTCTATGGTGGTTTGCACTGTTATGTTGTTGTTTCTGCACTGGTTCGGCAGTGTGAACAATTATTGGTGCTCTGTCTTCATCTTGATTTCACACCAAGGAAATTAAGAAAAAACAAACAAACATCTGTTTATGAATCTGAAAGGCAAAACATCCCCTTTAAAATATTTTCTTCTTCTGTGGAGATTTTGTAGTAGTTGTTTTATGTTACCTGCCTGGGGACTACGGATGTACAATCCGGCATGTTTACATTGTGTATTTTGTGCTGATGTTCATTAACATGCATTGGCCCTATCAAATAAACAATAAACAAATAAATAAATAAAAATATTTCTTTCAAATAAGCACAAGCTGAGCACATTTCAGACTACAGTGAGATCTGACGCTGCCTGTTTAAAGTGTGAGGCTAAATACAGAAATACATTTAAAAAAAAATAATGTGGCTACTCCTCCTTTATCTAATAGTGTAAGTGTCCACATACTTTTGTCCCATTCTTGGCCCAAGGCTCGGGAAAGAAAAATCCCTGGAGCCAAGTCCCGAGGCGAAACGAATGCTTATGAACGAGATGCTTTTGTGTCCACATACTTTTGACCATGTACGAGACGAGTTTTTATTTTATTTATTTCATTTTTTTTTCAGTGACAAACACTCAGTATTCAGTGTGTGTGAGGCTGTAGCTCGTACACATTAATATGAGGATGCGATTGGGCGGCAACATTAATTTTCTCTGTGCTCCTTTTTCATCTAATTTATATTCCTTTCTCACGCTGTGGTGTGGATCCACCCTGATGAATGTAGAAGTACAAAGATATGCAAGGGCAACGAGTTTTTATGAAGCAGCCAAACGAGCCCCAGTTTTATATTCACGGAAATAATCTATCCATTCTTCCTCTATGTGAATTTATCAGTGAATATGGAGAGGTGTATGTCGCCTTATTGAATTCTCAGTGTTTTAACATTTTGATTCTGAACAGCACAAACTTTGATCCTGCTAATCCAGTTTCTATCTGTCCCTGTTTTCGCCCTGTAGTTGTGACAGGAGCCACAGATGGGATCGGGAAAGCTTACGCGGAGGAGGTAAGATTCCCCCGGACTCATAGGAGGGAGCCGGGAATCGTTTCTCTGTCTCTGTTCCTGTCAAACACTTTTGATTTTTAACTAACACACCTGCTTCATTAATGACTTTCTGAGCACAAGATGATTTCAGACCAATTGCAGTTTGATCATCACTGCGGGGCTGAACGAGCGACTTGTGTTGCTGCGCTGCCTCTGTCGCCTTTTTATTGACACATTTTTTTTGTGTGTGTGTGTGTGTGTGTGTGTGTTTGTGTCAGCTCGCCCGCAGAGGCTTTGCAATCGTGCTGATCAGCCGCTCTCAGGAGAAGCTGGACGACGTTTCCATGGCGATCGGTGAGTTGTATGTTTTTAGTTGTTGTTTTTCTGAAACATGCAGTGTAAATGCAGACAGAAACGTCACCAGACGGGGAAGAATGAACGGAAAGTGAATATTCTCGGGGATGAGTTTCGTATAAATCACTGTGAAATACGGGCACGTAGCTCGATATTACTCTGTTTAATCCATCAGTCGAACTACTCCCACATCTCACCGTCAGGGGAAATCAGCAGTACCTGTGGTCCAGAGGCACCAGACTAATATAGCTCATGTGTTAAGTATGACAGCTGCTGATCCATGCAGCCACGCAGCCTCATTCACCCCGAACCTGAAATGTTGCGTCCGTGTTGCACCGTGTGGCTAAAAATGACTAACGACCAAATGATGTTGCATTGAGTTGTGTGTTTTTGCTGAAGTGAGCCCTCGTCGAATGGAGATTCGGCGGGACCCTCGTGCTCTTCGGCTGTGAGGCAGTGAAGCCTCCTGCTGGAGCTGAAAGTGAATCTGCCCAATTAAATGAAAGCTTTATGTTAAGGGAGGGATATCCTCATTGATGGTGAAGGATCATTTCAGGGTTTAATCATTTTTCTCTCCCCCCTCTCCAAGTGAGCTCATTCATAAATGTGAGAACTGGTTTCTGGTACCTTTTTTTTTTTTTTTTTTTATAACTTCTCATCTGTTTACTAAATTAAAATGTTTTTTTTTTTTGTGCATATCTGCGCCCTCAGCAAGCAAATGCGGCGTGGAGACCAAGACGATCGCCGCAGACTTCAGCGCTGTAGACATCTACTCCAGGATTGAAGACGGACTTGCAGGGCTGGAGGTTGGAGTGTTGGGTAAGACAGCAGCAGCAGCAGCAGCATAAAAATTAATGAAGCTGCTCATATGAAATGGGAAATTCAATTTAAACCAAGGCATATAGGCATCAGGAAATACTATATAATACTCTGTGATAAATGTAAGTTTGTCATGTCATCATAAAGGTTAATTTATCCTGGCTTCTTCAGCCCTTTGCTGCCCTCCGTAGATTGGAGAGAGGAACAACACTCTGAATTCCACATCTACAGAAACGTTATCCTCTTTCTCAGCCGTCAGTTCGTCACATGATGTTGTTATTCTCTTGTTAACAGTGAACAATGTTGGAGTATCCTACTCTTACCCTGAGTTCTTCCTCAATGTCCCCAACCTCGACACTGTGAGTCTAAGGTTTATTATATTCTGTCTTTCGTGAATGTATGAATAATTATATCATACAGGCTTTCTGTCTTTCCTACACTTCTGACTTCAGATCAGTTTTCTGCCTTATAAGCTGAGTGGACAGGAGGGCCGTCATGTGCAGCTTCAGACTAAATGAAACTGCACAGAAGTGGCCAGCTGGATGAGACCTGATCAAATGTTGTCTCCTGTTTTTAACTAGTAACACTGTGATTTATCTTTGCTTTTCTAAAGTGAGCCTGCGTCATTTCTGCTTCGTGCAACAATGGCACAAGTAGAGGAGAGTCATCAAACTTTATGACAAAAGCAAAATAAAAAAAGCAAAAAACAGCTATGCTAAAATGTGCTAACAGTAGCTAACGTTAGCCACTTTACGCTACTGGTCATACCAGACCAAGTGAGGCTGTAGCAGCAGAACCCCTGAGTGTGGGGAGTGTTTCCTCTTTCAGAAGTGTCGCTGTGTCGCTTTAAGGTGAACAGCGACATCATTTCCACCATCGAGAGCTTTAACAAACCGCAATATAACATCTGTAAAGAATAACCTGCGTATCTGATCGACAACATGTAGAAGTGAAAGTACAAACACACTGACCAAAGCTGTGGTAACGCTCCTGTGCTTCTTGTTTCAGTTCATCGACACGATGGTCAACATTAACATCACATCAGTGTGCCAGGTGAGTGTTTAAGACGTTGATGTAACGAGGCTTTTTCTGACTGAATCACTAGAACATCATTCATTCTCATTTTCATGTCAAAGAGAAAACCCAAGTTGATACCCCCCCCCCCCTCCCCAGCAGCAGAGATTATCTTAAATAAATGGTTCAGTCTCAGTCGGCACAACATGGACTCTGTAGACTTGTAAATGTTGGACGTCTCACTGTGACGTCTGGGCTGCCTTTGAATAATGTTTGTCCAAGTTTTCGATCCTCTGTCAGTTAGACACACACACACACACACATACACACACACACACACACATACACACACACACACACACATACACACACACACACACACATACACACACACACACACACACCCACACACACTCTTTCTCTGACATAAATCGCAGTAAGTAACTTCCATCCCTCTTCTCCATATTCGTCAGTTCCCAGAGCAGCAGCTTAATTTATGTCATTTAATATTTCTTTAAACTGCTCCCTCTGCTATCATTATCATTTCCTTTCTCTCTTTGTCTTCCTTCCCCGACCACCTCTTCACACACGATCCACACACTCAAATGTGGATGCACTCCTCCACACACTTACCGACCAAACCCACACACACACACACACACACACACGAATGACTTTCACTCTGTTTCTCACACTCATCACCTTCTGTCTCTCTCCACTGTTTTCCAGATGACGCGTCTTGTTCTACCTGGAATGGTGGAGAGGTAAGTTCAAGTTCATGCGTTACTGACTCCTGTGAGTCTTTAGTAACTGACACAAACACACCGGAGCGGAATTTGAATGAAACGGTGACATGACAGGAAGTCGTGTTGTCTAGATGAATGATTGATTTTGCAAGTTCTACATTTTGGGAACTTTTTGTTCTTGTTGTGGTTCTCCCTGGAGGTGGATGTGAAGATCGGTGCCACTTTCACATGTTTTGCGTTAAGTATGAAGATGCAGGCAGAAGCTGGCTAACTTAGCTTAGCACAAACACTGGAATCATTGGAAAGCAGCTAGCGTGGCTCTATCCAAAATAAAGAAGTATTGACTCGCTCCAAATGCTGTTTAATTTTTATTAATTTTTTATTTTTAAGTTCATAAAAATGAAACTTAACTGAGCGTTAATATTGAATGTTTGAAGAAAGGCTCATTTTCGAATCTCTCCTTGCTGCAGGGTTTGTATTTAGTTCCTTGACAAAAAAATTTATATTGTGTTTTGGAGTTAAAACCATATCACCCGAAACATCAGCTGATTGTAAAAGGAACTGACCAGTTTAATTTAATCAAACTTTAAAAGCTGAGGAAGAAACACACACGCTATCACCTGCAAATGAACCAACACTGGAATACATGCTCATTAAAAATGAACATTATATTCTGAAATGTTAATTTGTGCAGCAGCTCTGGACAATGAAGGGTTTACATTTTACAGGATTATTGCTTTTTTTTTTTTTTTTTTACCATCTTTAATTCTAATGTGATGGATTGTAAATGTGTTGCAGCGTTACATCCAATTTATACAATTGTCCGATAAATTCAGATTATGGGAAAATCAGGTTTAACTTAATGAACACTTGACTTCTCAGAAATATCGTCCACCTGTTGTTTAGATGGAATGTCGTATGAAGGCGCCACATGCTGGAACAAGAATATCATCAGATAGTAAATACTTAGGTTATTGATGTTACTGTGTGTTTGATCTTATCAACATCTACCAGCTTTTCTTTGATCTACAGCGAGAGCAGTTTCGGCTCAGCTGGCGAGCACACACGGCACCGTGTCCTCTGATCATCCTGCCATTGATTTCAGGGTGAAGTGTTTGTTTGCACTTCTCCCTCTTTCCCTCTTCATTCGTGCTCTCTGCTTCTTCTCCTTTTTTTGTTTTTTAAGCCTAAAAGAGCGTTTGCTTATATTCCTGTGTTTCCAGGAAGAAGGGGGCCATCCTCAACATCTCGTCCGCCAGCGGGATGTACCCCGTCCCTCTGCTCACTGTCTACTCTGCCTCCAAGGTAATTGCCATACACGGTTCATGACCTTTTTCCTCCAGTGTTAACTGAAGTGTTATCCGTAGACACATCTCGGCGTCATAAACGGTTTACATCTCGCCATACGCCGCCATCCACGAGGAGAAATCCGCCTTTTGTTCTCAGGTAATGAATTATTCTGTGTAATCCACCAACAGACTTTTGAGGAAAAACACGACGACCGATGTTGGTAGACGCCAGTTCAACATTTATTTAGATGCAGGGAAAAAGTGAGGGATCGTCTTTCTCTATATTTGCTGTTTTAATTGTTGAATATAAACAAGTCGGCGACTGACTCAGGTCCCGAGGTGGTGCACCAATTAAAAATGTTTATGAGAGCATGTGGCGTCATAATGTTTTATAAGCGTCTCGTGTGTGTTTGTTAGCTTAAAAACCAGCCTGCTGTTCACAGTTTCAGCTGATTAATTTGCTCGTGTTTTCATACTGGGTCATGTTTATCTACTAAATCCCACTTTCTGCAGTGCAAGTTTAAAAGTGCATCTAAAATACATCCAGGTTGAATCTTTAGTTCAGTGCTTAATTTAATGATCACCTCAGTTCATTACAGCTGTCATTGCATTGCACATATTTCCTCTTTGCTAGTTTTTGCACAGCAGTTTTTGTCCTATTGCGATACGTGAGGAGAAACCGAAGTCTCGTGGCTTTCTGGTGTTTGACCCGACTTTGTCTTGGACAGGCGTTTGTGGACTTCTTCTCACGAGGACTGCAGGCTGAGTACAAGAGCAAAGGCATCATCATCCAGGTAAATCACGTGGTTTTAACAAAGTCTGGTTGTTCACAGCTGCAGTCAAAAAACGCAGTTTGAAGGAAAACTCCTTCAGGTTTACTCGGGGCGCCCAGAATCAGAGCCAAAGAAGGTGAAGCAGCTTTTAGTTTCTCTGCTGCTCACCTGTGGAACAAGCTTCCTGAACACCTGAAACTTGTCAGCTCTTCACTATTTGCTGCAGCTTAACAATAAATTACAGACGTATCTTTTGTAATCTTGTGCCATATTTGCATTTGCTTGTTTTTACCTGATTTTATGCAATCTTGATATAACTTATTTACATATAATTTATTTATTCAGATTAGTTTTTCTTGTTTTTAAATGTCATTTTAATGTCATTGTTATTGTGTTTCCATGTCTCTGTAAAGCCGTCTGAATCGACTTGTATCTGAATGGTGCTATATAAATAAACCTGCTTTGCCTTTTGTAGGCTTAAGAAAAATAATCATTGTCTCAGCACTGTGTCGACATGAAACCAGACACGTTTATGTAACCGGTGTGTGTGTGTGTGTGTGTGTGTGTGTGTGTTTCTTCCTTTTTTCCAGAGCGTTCTGCCATTTTTCGTTGCAACCAAACTGAGTAAAATCCGACGGGCTACGCTGGACAAGCCCAGTCCGGAGCGTTACGTGGCAGCTGAGCTCAACACTGTGGGGCTACAGACCCAGACCAACGGCTACCTGCCCCACGCCATTATGGTAAGTCTGGGTGTTTTCTGTTGGGAGCAAACGAATAAAGACACACAGTACATATAACTTTTTACCCCCAAACTCATTCAGATTTATTGGCGTCAAATACTTTAATATTAAATTACCTGCCTCCTCATTGAATTCCAAATATTCACCCGTCACAATCTATTTTACACTTCAAAAGTCGAACAGTGTCTCTGTAGAAGAAGGTGAAACACACTTCCAGCTGCTGGAAAGACACCGCTACAGACGCTTCCTTTTGTACTACAGAAAGAAACCTCATTGTATCTCTACGTGTTCGCGCTCTTTATTTAATGTCTGGCTATTGTTAACAACGTTTGCTTGAAATCACTCTGCAGGCCGGTTGTTCCTGTGCATGGACCTGTCCATTACATAATGAGCCCGAACACTTGAAATGCACCTCAAGAATTTAGCAATCTGAATGGCGGCGTAAAGGAGGGGGGGGGGGGGGCACAGCTGGAGCACAGCTGGAGCACGCGAGAGCGACACCATTCAAACACAATGGGGAAAATTGACACGCAGGTAGTCGAGGTTTGTCGTGGCGACAGCAGCGAAAGCTCATCAGGCTGCCATTTCACTTTATATTAAAAAAAAAAAAAAAAAAAAAAAAAAAAAAGAGCCTCCAAGCAGCTCGTCTCCATTCGCTGAATTAATGTTGTGTCAACAGTTGCTAAAGCATCTGTCAAAAGGTAAACATCCTCTGAAATAATGGAGTGGGACGCTTCGCTACCTTGCTGTATTGTCTGCATCCCGACACTGTAATTACTCTGAGGAGACACGAGCATCAGAAATGAGACAGAAACAACATTTTTTTTTTTTTTTTTTCATGAGGCGCCTTCATTTTAGCAGAGGTCACAGAGAGCAAGAGCCATTTTCTCCTCCCAGTTCCTCCATGTTGCTGCTGTTGTTGGGTGTTGTTGAACTGTGTGATCTGAATATCAATGCTTGTGTTTATTGATATACATTTCAACAACCACACCATCCATTACAGTGCATGTGGTCAATAAATCATATTCAGCATGAAGAAAAAAAAAAGAGACTTTGTTGATCCTGTGCAGATAATGTAAACCTTTCCTGTCATCAGCCCCCGTATTTCACCAAAACACAAGCCGCAGACATGTAGCTGTGATTATCTGATAATCCCCTCAACTGTGCAGCACAGCTCTGTCCATTTTCCAGTAATAATCCACAGTTCACCAGTTTCTGATTTAGACTGCTGTGAAGCTGCAATCTGCAACCTTCTGCATATTCACAAACAGCTACATATGTCCTGTCATCATTGCTCTAATTCATCTGTTTATGCATTTCGTTTTGTTGCACAATTAAAATGTCATAGCCGTAGAGTTAAATAATAGAAACTAAATGGATGTGGAAGTTAAAGTTTCATAATATGAAACTTTTTCACATTAAAATGTCTAAAAATAACTAGACCTTTTGATATATATGTTTTTAAATTAACCCAAGTACGTGATTTAATCATGTTCAGTCCGTGTCATTTGGTCGCCTGTCAGTGACATCACATCCTCTATGCACCATGTGACAGTTTTGTCGTTTCCTGCCAGAACCCTCAAAATCGACTTTTATCTAGTTTTAAGCCACATACATTTTTTTTTACACCTTGGTTGTTTTCAACTCTATATTTAAACCAGATGAAGGATTTTGGTCTTCAGACGTCTGAGAACAAAGCTGAGGAAATGTTTGACAGCTCAGCTCTGAAACGACCTGTGAATCACTGATTTTCACTGTGAACCTGCTTTATTCAGGGTTTCTACCGGTTTTAATCCCCTGGTCCGTTCGTTAAGGAGAGGAGGACACCTCTGCAGATAATTCGGCTGCCGGTAAAAACCTCCTGAATGTCTGGTTCATAAGTTATCAGAGAAACATCTAAACAAAGGTTAGCAGCAGTCTCGGCTCCCAACTCGTCCCTGACGTCTCGTGTCGGCGAAACTCTGACTTTAAATGTGAAAAACTTGTTTTTACTGGTTATAATCACCATAATCAGTTTGAGTTGGAGAGGAGGACACCTCTGCAGATAATTTGGCTGCTGGTAAAAACCTCCCAAACCACTGACACTGAAAGAATCCAAATTAAGTCAGTAGCGTCTCAGCTGTGATGTGACTGACCAATCAAGTAGTGAAACATTGTGTGAGCTGATGAAGCTAAGCTGGACATGACGTGTGTGACAAACAACGAACATTTCTCAGTAGCAGACTTTGTCTCTAACAACAGTGAATGTGCTTTTTAAGTCTTCTACCACGCATCATTTAAATTCACGGTCCATTATTATGTCCAACTTTGTTTTAATGATATATCAATTTAGAATAATAACACATTTTTAGCATTTTTAGAAAATCAGCATGAGAAATTGAAAGAATAGAATTAAGAGGAAATCTATTGGTAATGAATTGAATAATAAGTTGATGGAAGAACCATTTATGATGCTTCATAAAACTGCTCCTTACTTAAGAAGAGGATTAAAAACAGTGGGGGGGTTTCCTCAGAACAAAATCAACAGTTTCAACTGCCACACTGTTGAGTTAATTTACACGACAGTTAAAGCAGAAAAGAGTTTATCGCTGTAATTTGAGCTGCCTGCTATCGCACAGTACATGAAAAATAGATCCAAGTTAGGTGAATTTATTCAGGGAGATGAGTTCGCCTTATTTTAAAAGTGACGACAAGAATCAGTGAGAAAAGGTTTAAAAATGCTGAAATAGAAAATGTCAGTTTTATGATCTATATTCAAAAAGTGCAGCTACTGTAGAGACTCGCACACAGTCTGAGGAGAGTGGACAACAATTGTCCGAATTTTCTTTTGCACAAACTTGCCCGCCGCAGTTGTTGCTCCTGTGGGTTGGAAATTAATAATGAATGCTCATCTGTTATTTGTAAATGCCACCAGCTGACCATGTAATTCCCCCTCTGCAGGGCTGGGTGACTACAGCTCTGCTCCCTGCCAAGATCCTCAACAGCTACATGATGGGGATGGGTTTGTCCCAGCGCGCTCGTTACCTGAAGAAACAGAAGCAGGGATAGATTGGTTGGGGAGCGGCGGCAGCAGCAGACACCACCACCATCATCATTATGGACCAAGAAGAGAAAACGTGACACTTTCTGACTAAACACCCCCCAACCCCCATCTCTCCGATCCTCCTACTCATAGATGATCTGAAGCGGTGACTGGCCGCAGTTGCCGTAACACGTATTCAAAACAATAGTGTGAAAAATATTGGAAGAAAGTGTTTCTATTTATTGAGTGAACAGCTTTAATGAGCGGAACATTAACAAGGAAACAAGCTAATCGTCTGTCTGCAAACTGTGATCGAGAACTAAAGCCTAACAGGAGAAGGGAAGGATGCAGGAAACGTGGATGTGTGTGAGGTTGGAGGCGTCTGTATGTGTGTGTGTTTGAGCCTCCTGTGAGTATGTGGACTAGCTTAAAGCTAATTAGTACAACACTGAGGGACAGTACTTACTTACTGTTAACATTTTCTAAAGCACTTCAACAATTTAAAAGGCTGATGCGTTTTTTTTTTTGTGATATTAATCGCATCCTTAATTCTTCATTCTTATTTTTTCATTTCATGACATCAGTTTCAAAGTAGAGAAGGCACTGCTTGTATAATTGAACCAAACTATATTTCAACTGTTAAGAAAATTTAGAGGGGGCTCTGTAGATGAATAGCCAGCGGGGAGAGAGAAGCTGTGTGTAATATAGAATATTAAAATGTGTGTTTTGTTTACATACTAAACTGATTTTCAAATTAATGCTTACAACTGGCGTTACTGTCTGACATTCTTTCAGAATACGTTTGATCCGTTTTACTAAAATGTTAAAGGTTCATATTCTCCTCTTCTCCCGTGTTGATCCATAAGAAGATATAATTTGCGGTTTTAAAAACCAAAAACCATCTCAATGTAGTTTTACATCTCCTCTCTCAGGCTTCTCTGTGGAGCTCTTACAACAGGTCAGTGAGCCAATCAGAAGAGAGGAGGCTCTGAGCCTCTCTTCTGATTGGCTGACTGTTTTCTGAGTGATCCAATAAAAATATAGCAGATTTCAGGTAAAAACACTCAGAGAAACCAAATCCTGCAAAGGTTGGGTGGTGGGTCCAGGTGGGCGGGGCTTGGGGCATTGCTGAGAGCGGTGACTGCTTTGTTGTGACATCACAAAGTCACAGAAGTTCTGACGGCTGGTTTTAAGGCTCAGTTTCTGAATACAGGCTGTGTGCATTTCTCTGTGGACTGAGGCTTTGATACTTTCACAGTATTAATATAGAAGCTAGAGCTGATCTATAATCACACTACACATGGACAGAGACCTTTACACTGGATGGAGCTTTAAAACTAAACCACATCTACAGATGAAAGAAAACCAATGAGATAATGTAAAACCTCTGATACATGACTTTGACCTCCTCTTCTGAAAACTCCCATGTATGTTGAGTTTGTGTGTCCACACAGTCTGTCAGTCCGTAGTTGTCTCATATTTCACTTGTCTTGGCTCAGATATCAGCTTTAACTTATACTGTGTTAATCCCAATGGAGATGTAAAACTTGTACTTAACATTTCACTCATACTGACTGTGTAGTTGCAGCCGCTTGGGACCAAATTCAGTTGTAAGGCTAGAGCTTCTCTCAAGGGCAGTGGCATTAGGCATTAGGCACATTCCTAATACCTGAGAGTCATGTTGAAAGCAGAGCAAACCAGAACACCTGGATGTTATTATTATGTCCCGACTCTGGAAAAACTATCTTGTATTTGTCCTTCCAGCCTACAATAAATATGCTTTTCAAATAACATCACCTGGTCATCCGTTTGTCCTGACTTCTTATGCTATCTTGTCACTTGTGTTTGGGGCCATATTTTAGTCTACACTAAGGTCTGATAAGAGAACAGTACTGGTTTTAATCTCTTATTTGGCTTTGTAATTGGATAAAATATGACTGAGCTCAGAGTTAAAATCATGTAAAAACTGTATAATGTGTAAATCTGGTGTCAAATAGCATCTCTTGTCATATATTATCACAATAAAAAAAAAAAACTCCACAAACTCTTCGGTGTAATAAAACTCCCTCCCATACCCATATTTTATGTTACATCCTTTTACAACCTACCCACCAGCTCACATAACTTCCTTGAGGGACTTTTACCATTTTTCGTCACTTTCACAGTCCACACTCGTTCTGCCTCCTCCCTCCCTCCCTCCCTCCCTCCCTCCCAAGCATCACCATCCTAGTTCCCATGCCAACAGTTTCTGAGAGATTATTCCGGTGCACTGGTATGGAAGCTGCGGAAATGTGTCATCACTGAGAATGTAGGAGGGGAGAAGGGCTCCGTGTGCGGAGGGATGCCCAAAGGAAGGAATGAGTGGGCTGGCAGAGATGTATATAAAGAAGAGCTCGTGGTGCTCAAGTCCACGGCTCGCTCGGACTCACACACACTCTGTGATTTCAGACCGAAGAGCGTATTGGAATAACAGGATCTCTCAAATCATCTCTCATCAAGCAGAACCCTCAGGGCTGAATATTAAACAGCTCTCACTGATTGAGTATTGTATTTTAATTTTTTTTTTTGCATCATCTGTCCCAAAGCAGTGGAGACAGCTGATCAGATACACCAGAATATCTACCGCCACATCTACTCTAGAGCTTCACTATCTCCAGCCGATCAGCCTCACATTCGGGCCTACGTTCACCATGGCGACCAGCATGGACACGCTCCCTGCCCATCTGCTGCCTTTGGTGATGGAGGAGTTCCCCCAGTCTCTGGCCACGGCTTGCGTCTGTAGAGCCGGGCAACGAGAGCCACGCCTCCGCTGCGTGCAGTGTGGCATCATCGAGGAGGAGGAGGAGGACTGCTCCACCCTGGAGGAGGACCAAGCCCAGCGCTCCTTCCTGCAGACCGTGGAGAGCCTGAGGAGGAGTACCAGATGAGCTCCTCCAGACAAAGTTCTGGCATGACTGTTACATGTTTGACCCATTTGGCTTCCAGTTTGCAACCAGTGTGGAGACCAACAGAAGTCTGCAGTGTTACGGACGAAGACTGTGCTGACTCAAAAGCTCTGTGGGCGGTGGTGATATTTTGCTAAAACTGTCATCACTGGTGGGCACAATAATATGGCGATGGATGAGAAGCAGTCAAGACACTAAGAACTGTGATAGAGAATTTCAAAGAGTGTAAAGCTGCTGGCAGTGAACCACTGTTTTGTATATTTTAATCAATATTTCCAAAGTAAATCTGCTCTGTTGTAAAGCATTACTTGCACCATGTCAAATTGTTATTATATTACTAACACAATTGTATTTCTTTTTCTTAATGTCCATATTGCCTGTTGCTAAGATTTTGAATTTCATATATAAAGCTGATGTTCTAACATTTCTTTGGTGGTCTCTCCTCTCTATTATTGAAGTAAAAGAAGAAAAAAAGAAAGAATCTGTAAAATCTTAAGCTGACACCTGAAACACACTTCATACATCAAGTTTCCTATTAGTTTCACTTCAAATCTAAAACTAGAAGCCGTGTGTTTCAGGGGAAATGTTGGCTTGCAGACAGCCATTAGAATCTTTCAGGCCTTTCCATGTGGTGGCACTATTGATACACTTTTTTGAGCTAAATAGCACAAACTCTGCTGTACAACACAACAATGCCTCCTCTTGGTCCAGTTGAACCGCATATTAACACCTGCCATCCAGAAAGTACCCCTGCTGTCTCTGACATAATACAACCAGGAATCTGTTTTAGCTTTGATCGTTTCCAAGAGACAAAACGAAAGACACAGTCATGAATCATGACACCACACCACAAGACTACAACACATTACGCCGTTATGCAGTGCTCTCCATGGGCCTTGCAACTAAATTTCACCTTTAGTCTTCTATATAATACTATAGTCTTCTGTTGAAAAGGCAGGAACATACAATTATGAAGCAGCTATTACAGGATGGATGAGCAGTTGTTTGTGGATTGTGGATTAATTGGATCACACTTTCTCAATTTCTGCATCATTTTCAGATAATAACAAAAACTCAGTAGATGTCTGCTCCATAAATTAATTCAATTACAGATACTGTATGCCAGCTGCAGTTGTTTTTTTTTTTAATGTGCATTCATGAGAACAACTCTCTTGTTGGTTTTTTCTTTGTGAGTGAATGCAGTGATCAGTGCGGTGGTGTTGATGTGAGAGGCTTTTTCCAAAGCTTTGTGTTGTCCAACAGACTTGAGTCCTGCTCTGTTTTGTCTCATTTGTATAATATGATTAAACAATATACAATATATATTTTATTAACTAAAGAATAAAGCTATATTTTTTTTACGTTATATTTTCTCAACAAGATTACATAACAGCTTTTTTTTAGTTAAACAAATTTTTGTTAATATTTATTGAAAGTCAAAGCCTGTATATTCAACGTTAACTCATCGATGCACATCAGGTAAAAGCTCTCCAAGTCACCCTCAGATTCTCTTTGGAAATTCAAAATACTGCAGCATTTGGTTTTTAAATAAAACTTACACTGACATCTATAGATGGTTTAAACCTGCTGACCTGTACGTTGTAGGAGGAGGAAACCCACGTAAACACAGAGAGAACATGCAAACTCCGAACAGAGACGGTTCCTTTCAAATTCAGGACATTCTTGTTGGGAGGTGACACAACTAATATTCAGGGTTTCTACACATTTTCCATTTCAGAATTCCACAGTTTTCCAGACTTCTCATAAGATTTCTCAGACCATACAAATAGCTTCATGTTTATTACGTAAATAAATGTCCAGAATGAAGCGTCTCCTCACTGAAAGTTTGCAAAGAAGCGCCTGAAGGACTCTGAGACTGACAGAAACAAGATTCTCTGGATGAAACCAAGATTGAACTGTTTGGCTTCAGTTCTTGAGCATCATGTCTGGAGGAAACCAATACCATCCCAACAATAAAATGAACAGAGCAAAGAACAGAGATAACCTTAATGAAAACCTGGTCCAGAGTGCTCACGAGCTCAGACTGGGCCGAAGGTTCACCTCCCAACAGGACAATGACCATAGGCACACAGCCAAGATGACGCAGGACAACTATAGCCCCTTTTACACTGGATAAAAATCTCTACTAATGTGGCTTTTGTCTTCAGTGTGAAAGGGTACAATCAGCATCCAGTCCCATGTCAAATGACTCTGCAGTAGGCTGGTATTCATCAGCTCCGGCTCCAGTCTGCACTGATGGAAACATCACACCCAGGTGGACGCGGCACATTGCAATAATGTATATGACCCTGGGAAGTTGCTATGACTACCTCTTCTGTGTATGAGCAAAACTATTTTTAAGTCTCAACCAGCTTATTCAAGCACCTGATGAGCACACTACCTATTAGGTGTATCAAAGCCTTTTCATAACAACATTGTTCAGTCAGCGTCGGGTTTGAAGAGACTGAAGTAACATAGTCACTGGCACCGTTAGCACTCAGCTAACTGCATATACGTGCTAATTTTGGTGTAACAAAGGAATCTGTGAATGTCCTTGAGTGGCCCAGCCAGAGCCCTGACCTGAACCCAATCCAACATGTCTGGAGAGACCCGAAAATGTCTGTCCACAGACGGTCCCCATTCAACCAGACAGAGCTTGAGGGGATCTGCAGAAAATCCCCAAATCCAGGTGTGCAAAGCTTGATGCTTCATAGCCAAGAAGACTCAAGGCTGTAATAAAAAAAATAAATTCTGTTTTTGCTTTGTCATTGTAAGACGTTGATTGTAG